AGCGACGATTCAACAAACAACAGAAGCAGAGACAACATCGGCAGCAGCAACAACATCGGCAGCAGCAACAACATCGGCAGCAGCAACAACATCAGCAGCAGCAGGAACAACGACACCAGTCACAGTCGACGAAGCACCACCAACACCCGCACAACAGCTAAATCCGACTCAACGCGAAGTCCACCGAAGCGCCAACTTCGTCGCCAGTTTTTACTCCAACTCCGACGCATAACAACGTTCACCCGGACACCGCGCCTCTGAAGAGATCTGGCACGCACGCACAGGACATCCAAGCAACACGGTTTTAAATAACACGATAAGAGCAGGAGTTCTTGACAAAGACTCTCTACTTCTACCCGACGGCAGAGAACTCCAAAAGGCACGAGGGACTTACCTTATATGCCCCGAAGCTGACTTACCTCATCGACCATTCGCTCCACATCACAACCCGAGCACACCAGCGTACGCACCACTTGAAAAGGTTTACAGCGACATCCTCTACAATCGCGAACCAGGACAAGTCAACTACAACTACACCATCACCTTCATCGACGCCGCCACTCGATACGTCTGGCATCGTAACCTACCCAGCCGCGACATGGCGCTCGCAGCATTCGCCGCCTGGCTACCAATAGCAGAGAGAGAGTCTGGAACGCAACTGAAAAGCTTCCAGTCAGACGAAGGTGGCGAGTACACCTCTCAGCGCTTCAAGCAGTTCCTGGCGGAAAGGGTAATCAAGCAACTCCTCTCCCTTCCCTACGCACATCAGCAGCAAGGTGTTGCAGAAAGAATGAACAGGACCCTGCAGAACAGCATGCGCAAACTGTTACGTGGCATGCGGCTACCCAACCACCAGTGGCCAGCAGCAATGGACCATGCTGTCATGCTGCACAACTTGTTGTCGTCGTCATCACTCCCGAACAACGCATCACCGCATCTGCTGTGGACAGGGAAGCAGGGCAGCACAAAAATGTTACGAGTTTTCGGGTGCATGGAACAGTACAGACCCCCAGAAGCACGAGCGGGAAGATTTTCGCAACGGGCACAGTGGGGACTACACCTCGGCATCGAGAAAAATTACAACGCGTGGAGAATCTTCGACGTCCACACAAAATAAACAGTAGCAGCACGTGATGTGATCTTCTACGAACGACTCACCCTTCAAACGTACCTCGCCATCTTGCACGAGAATCGGGACCTCACCAGTGGCTTTCGTGGTGACCGAGCCTTCGCGTCAGCAGCGGATGAAGCAGACTGGGATGAGCAGAACGTCGACAACGCATCGGAGGAAGCCGGACCTCTTCCGTACTGCTCCGTCGACGTGCCCATGGATGAGGAAAATCCTCGCGACAGTAACAACGCCGAAGTCTTCTACCATTTCGCCGACAATGGTTACGTAACACCTGCGACAGTCAACACCAACGAAGCAGAAAGGGTAGGGCCAAATTTCATACCCGACCCAGAAGTGGGAGACGAAGCAGCTTATCCCGAGGATCCAGAACTCCCTCGATACTCACAGACTGGACTGCAAATCCTTGGTCTCGTCACCGCAGTCCATGGCGCCGCCATTCCTAAGGAGCCTGCGACGGTTCAACAGGCTCTGGAGGGGGAACATAGGGAGAAATGGCGTGAAGCCATGGACAAAGAGCTGAAGGCACTGGAGGAGCGCAACACCTGGAAAATCGTTCCCATCGGCGTAGCACAAAACAAAACTATCCTTACCGGGAAGTGGGTCTTCCGTGTGAAGACGAAAGCTGACGGCACCATCGACAAATTCAAAGCTCGTTGGGTCGTACGCGGCTTTGACCAGGAGCACGGAAGAGATTACACCGAAACCTTCGCTCCGGTCAGCCGTCACACCTCACTCCGAATCCTCATCGCCGTCGCCGCCATGAAGAAAAAGAAACTGCGACAAATCAACGTCGCAAACGCATTTCTCTACGCACCTGTAGATGCAGAAATCTTCGTCGAGCTCCCGCACGGCTCCCACGGCGAACCCAACCGAGTCTGTCAACTACTTAAGTCGCTCTACGGGATCAAGCAGGCACCGCGACTGTGGCAGCAGTACCTACACGCCCGCCTCATTCGCATCGGTTTCAAACAATTCCCGCATGACCAGGGCATGTATCGCCTCACAAAGGGAAGTGACTACGTTCTCCTAATCGTCTACGTGGACGATCTCCTTTACATTGGGTCAACCGACGGCATCGCCACGTGGTTCGAAGGGGAGCTTCAGAAAGACCTCACGCTCACGGTCTCTTCTACCGTTACGCAGTACCTCGGGCTCAACATCCGCGAGGAAGAAAACGCAATCTATCTAAGCGCCGAGAAGTACGCCGACACCATCGCGAAACGCTTCAGCCTCACACCAAGCGCCATCTCCACGCCTTACCGCTACACGTCAGGAACCGAAAAGGGACGATCTACTCTACTCAAACCCACCGGCATACGCGACTATCAGAAGAAGCTCGGATGTCTTCTCTTCGCAGCAGTCACATGCCGTCCCGACTTATCCTACTCCGCGAGCCAGCTCGCCACCTATCTCAAGAAGCCTGAAGCAGAGCATCTGGCGGAACTCGATCGCGCTCTCCACTATTTCGTCACCACCGCGACGATCGGATTAACTTATCACAAAAACGCAACTACACCGACCAAGCTAATCGGCTACGTCGACGCCGATCACGCCGGCGACACCGATAATAGGCGCTCACGCACCGGCTATGTCTACCGCCTCGAGCCTATCGGTCCTATCTCCTGGCAGTCGAGTAAGTAGGAGTTAATCGCACTGTCTTCAGCTGAAGCAGAATATATTGCACTCTGCTCAGCCACCAAGGAGGGACTTTACCTTCGCGAACTGCTGGAAGAAGCGAAGTTAGCCGAGTTGCCCAGCTTCACCGTGTTCTGCGACAACCAGTCAGCAATTCGCATCGCCAACAAGAACGGCTTCGCAAACAGGACGAAACACATCGCCCTGCACTATTTCTTCGTGAAGGACGAGATCGAAAAGGGGAAAGTCGATCTGTCATACTGTCCCACGTCTGAGATGGCAGCCGATTACTTAACCAAGAAGCTCGGAAAGCAGAAGTTCGAATACTGCATGCTGCTGACTGGACAAGGCCACGTCACCTGCGGCGACACTCCAGAAGCGAAGGGGAGTGTTGGAAACAATAAGTCTTAGTGCGCTTCTGTCGTGACAAAACCCAAGACACTAGCGAAGCAGTCCGAATCGAAGCATCGAGTCAAACCTCGGAGGTTAGGGTAACCGCCTGGAGGTTACGGGAAAGTCAAAGGTCAGCGACCTTTGACTCGACAATTACAGCGCGACAGTTAAGGACACACAACTGACTCGTTACAGAGCAGTTGCCCGAGTCGCACTGTATCGAATCGCAACAGCAAATACAGTTATCTATCCATTCGTATTCCCTGTACTCTTATATAAAACCTTGTATTTGCTTGTTTAATTTAATCCACTTTGCTCTCACACACTAGTGCAAGGTCGGTTCACAAACTTCATTAAACGCTTCCGCTATTACAAATATCATACCCAGAGTTATCCTCTGCAAAGATCCTTAAGGGCTTTCTCAGCCCAACAGAAGTTTCGACACGACAGAGGCGCTTAAGACTATTTGTTCCCAACAACCTACTCGTGATACCATCTCAAAGTTAGAAGCAACGGAATGCCGTGATTAGGAAAACATTGTGATATAAATAGCAAACTTTAAATGTGTTGTACTCTCTATGGAGTACTTCACTACAGCTTATATATGATAACATTTGATATTTATGTGTTTACAACTGTCACTGCATGTCATCTGTGTGTCATTGATGCAGATGCGACCCACACTGTCACCTCGTCTGGTTCTTTGTGCTTTGAGAGCTAGTAGTTTCACACATTGTGTACGTTTGCCATTTTTGTGCTATCTTATGTAACACAATGCCACAGAAACGAGTGTATCCCCATTCAGACCCCATATTGCATGCCTCACGAAGTCTTCACACCTTGCTACAGTAAACTTGTTGCTTCACCGACTGGTTTCGGCGTGACCAACGCCCATGTCTGTACCCCACCGCCATTGCTAGGGGGTATAGGTTCGTACCGTAGACCTCGGCTGCAAGACCTTTGTGTTCACCCCCTCTCACTGTGCGGCGCCCTCGGTGCTCTGCGGTCTGGCTCCGTCCATTTCTTGTCTTCAACCAAGCTTCTGGTCTGGTCTCTCGACTCTAGGTCCGGGGCCCGTTTTCAAATGTGGGTTGGGCGTTTTGGAAGGGGATTGGTCCGGCTGTCTTTGATGACCCAATTACAATCTCTCCAAACCTGGCTTCGTCTGGTAGGGGGTTCGAGGTGACGGAGACGGACGGAGCTCGTCTGTCCGCACCGCAATCAATCGCCCACCTATCAAAACAAACGCGTCCCCATGTAGGCTATAGCAAGGTCCGCGTCGCGCGGATCGTTGGACGCTTTTCCCACCTTTTCCTTCGCTGCGGTGGCACTTGTCCCTACTCCTCACCCAATCAGATTATCTTTCCAGCCCAAGGAAGCCTCCCCTCCTCCATTCCCATGCAATTGACATGCACCCAGATTGGCGCCCAAATCGGGCGCGGCTCGGCACGAGTTGGGAGCAAAGCGCGTGGGTGCGTTGGGATTGGAGGAAACCAACATTGCGTCACGACAAACACCGAAATCCATCCACATTTTTGTGTGCTTTGCTCTGTTCTCTCTCGACCAGCCAAGCTGGATCCCTGTGTGTGCATAGACACTGGACCGCGCTGGTCACGGCTACATTGTCGAGTCAGATATCTCGGCCTGATCCGAGCTCCAACTTCACCACAAACTCCCAATCCAACCCCACACCAGGCTCTACCGTGAACACTGAAGCTCGAAGCTCTAAATTGCTTCGCTTGCTTCGTATGTCGCTTCATTCTGACCATTAGGTCGTTTCTACTTGACCTTAAGTGACCAGGCACCAAGATCATTCCTTAGTCTGTTCGCGATCTCTGCCATGGAGTGCATCGCAAGAGCCCCATCGTCCTTCGCCTCATACTTCCTCGAGTCCGCGCAGAAGGCCTCCATGAACGCCCGCGCGATCAGCTCGTCCATCTACCACCAAAATGCGGCGCTTTGCCCTCCTTCCGTCGCGTCTCTCCCAGCAGCGTCACCTGCCGATGTGCGCGCAACCACCGTCACAATGGCGGCTCTCGAATACATGGCCACACAGCTCTCCCGCCACATACGCCCACTTAAAGCCCTCAGACACTTCATGAAAGGCAGACGGCGTACAAGCGAGGGAAGTAGGGATGGTAAAGGCACCCGTGGGGGCGACAGTAGTGGCAGTAACGAGGGCCTTCTGGGCATAGACGCACTGCCCCTGCCTGCAATAGTCCCCTGCCCGGTTCCCATCGTCGCGACCGTAGAAAGCAATTCCAATCGCGTCAGCGTCATTGCTCACTCTCAGGCGGCAGCTGCTGCCGAGCCTCTCACCGCACCCATGCTGAACGGCTCTGCGCGGCTGACGTCGTCGCTGCTGGTGTCGTTCCTCGTGAACTACTCCGTGCTCGTGTCCGACTGGTGGCAATTCAAGTCCACAGCTCGCGATCACCTCTTCGCCTGTCTCGGCTCGCGATGGCCGCTCGCCGTCACAGCAGTGCACACCGCCAATGACTCCAATTCCGCCGCCGCTATTGCCGCCACAGCCGCTGCCGCCGCGGCCGTCGCCGCCGCCGCCGCTGCGAAGGGAACGACGAGTACGCGAACCCGTCGCGATCTGTCCCCAGCATCGCTCATCCGCAAGCTGAGTGGCTCGTGGAGCGGCCTCCGCGCGCCCGCTAATCCGCGCGCGGACGGATGCGGAGAGAGGACGGGGAGTGAGGAGGACGACAGCACGGAGGAGGCCGCGGAGCGAGCGGCTGTGGCGGCGTTTCGGAAAGGGGTCACTGAGGGGGACGGGCGGGGTGCGCGCGTGGCGCACGTGGTGCCGGACGGGCTGGACCCGCACATGGTGTGGGCGCAGCGGCAGAAGGACGTGGACGCGGAAGACCGCCGGCGCGACTCGCTCGGCGAGCCCGGGTTTTCCTTCTCGGCCGCCGGGCTGCTGTTTCCGTACCACCTGGGCGTGGCGCAATACTTGCTGGACCACGGCTACATCACGGTATGGCACTGCTGCTTTCTTGCGTTAACTCGCACTTTCCTCCCGCGCCTTGTCTCATCTGGACTATCCCTTGCCGTCATCCCGACTGTCTCGTTCCCCGCGCGCAGGAGTCGACCCCCCTAGCGGGCGCGTCAGCGGGCGCGCTGGTGAGCGCGGTGGTGGCGACGGGCGTGGAGCCGCGCAGCCTGATGCCGCTCGCCAAGCTCGTGGCGGCCGACTGCCGGAAGAACGGCACCGCGTTCCGCATCGGGGTGCTGCTGCGAGGAGTGCTCAACCGCATTCTCCCCGACGACGCACACATCAAGTGCTCCGGTCGCATCCGAGGTGAGCCGCCCTCTCCTGCCTCGTCACCTTTCAGCAAAACTCGGAAGCAGCACTCTTCCGTGGCCGGTGCACCGTCACACCTTTCCATTCTCCTCTTTTCACTAACGTCGTCTCCGTCTTCCCCCTGCGCCTCTCCCCACGGCCCGGCGTGCAGTGGCGATCACGCAAGTGTTTGGGTCACCGCGCGGGTGGCTGGTGGACGCGTTCGAGTCCAAGGAGGACCTCATCGACGCGCTCATCACCTCCTCCTTCGTGCCCGGGTCAGCAATGCACGCGAATTGCATGGGGGGCACAGGGGACGGGGGTTGGGGGTGTTTATGGGTGGGATTGGTGCCTTGCTGCCGTGCGTCGTGGGTTAAACTTGCCTTGTGATGGAAAGTAGGACGTGCGTGGTGGCAGGGCTGACGGATCGTGTGGTTGCCATGGCGGGTGCGCAGGTACTTGGAACCCCGGGCGACTACTTCCTTCCGCAACCGCACATGCGTGGATGGCGGAATCTCGCACTTCATTCCGCCCACTGCCAGCGAGCACACCGTACGTCCCTGTTGTTTCTGCCGCTCGTGGTGGGCATGCAAGGCTGTACTTCCTCATTGCCCCTGCCGCTCCTTAAAGTTCTGCCTGCAACCACTCGTTCCAAATCTCTCTCTCTCTCTCTCTCTCTCTCTCTCTCTCTCTCTCTCTCTCTCTCTCTCTCTCTCTCTCTCTCTCTCTCTCTCTCTCTCTCCCTCTCTCTCCCTCTCTTATGTGCAGGTGCGTGTGTGTGCCTTCCCAGCGAGTGGCTATGGGCTGACAGGAACTGACATTAACCCTGACATGAATACGCTCAACAACGACTGGACCATGAGACAGGTATGCCTGCCGCAATCAACTGCTGCGTAGTCCCCTTTGCCATCCTCTTACATGTCTCAGATCTTTTTCTTAAAATACCAAGGCTTCACACAGCTGTTTGTCACCCGTGTCTCCCTGTCCTCCCTGGCCATCAGTTTCTCTCCTGGGCTCTGGAGCCTGCAGAGGATGATGTGTGGGATGGGCTCTTCAACAGCGGCTATGCCGATGCTGCCACGTGGGCCAGCACCTACACCGGCCCCGTCTACCATCCCATCTCTCAGAGCAACACCCACGTGACCACTTCAGCTGCTGCAAATATGTGTAGCCTTGTTAGATAGACAGTGTTGGGACTCAAATGGTAGTCCAGGAATCTCTTGATTGTATGGAGCTCATTAAGGGCTCAGTTTTTCAGGCTAATTGTCTGTCTTGGTAGGTTTACTGGTATGTTTTGTTACAAAGCAAGGTCTGTTGTTGCATGTGTTATAAGAGCGTATTCCTATCCTCTTATCAAGAAAACCTCATCAAGATTGTACTTTTTGCCTGGTAAAACTAGCGAGAGGTGTTGGGTTTAGGGGAATTTTCAGTGGGAGGTTGATATGAGGTTCTCTTGATACGAGGATGGGAATACGCTCTAAGATAGTGGGATTACCGTAGCGAGTTGCATCCACCATTTTGCCTGATTTTAGCAAACTGTTGGAGTATGAATGTAATTGAGTTTAGCATTCGTATAGGTCGCACCCGTCACTATCGAAGCAGCACTAGCAGTAGAATCGGATCAGCCTAGTGGGGTAGCCCATAAGGGGTACAACCCAATTAGGGTTAGTACTTGTACCCAACTGTTTCATAGTTCAATCCTTCTCTCGTTCTAAGTTTCACATGGTATAGAGCTGGTTCCTTCGTGGGAACTTTTCCTAGGGCCCACCGATCTTTTTTTTCCTGCCAGGAGCGCGCTTGGCCCCTGCCCGAGTCGCGCTTGGCCCCTGCCCGAGTCGCGCCTCGTGTCGTTCCCCCTCGCGGCCTCTAGCGGCCCCTCTTACGGCCCCGTCGCGCCGCCCTTGCGGCCCCGTCGCGCCGCCCTGTGGCCCCGTCGCGCCGCCCTTTAAGCGGCCCCGTCGTCGCCCCTTACTACGGCCCCGTCGCCGCCCTTAGGCGGCCCTGTCGCCGCCCTTTCAACGGCCCCGTCGCCGCCCCTAACTGCGGCCCCATCGCCACCCTTCAGCGGCCCTGTCGCCGCCCTTCCGCGGCCCCGTCGCCGCCTTTCAGCGGCCCCGTCGCCGCCCTTCCGCGGCCCCGTCACCGCCCTTTCAGCGGCCTTGTCGCCGCCCACCCCTTCCGCAGCCCCGTCGCCGCCCTTTCAGCGGCCCTGTCGCCGCCCTTTCGCGGCCCCGTCGCCGCCCTTCAGCGGCCCCGTCGCCGCCCTTCAGCGGCCCCGTCGCCGCCTTTCAGCGGCCCCGTCGCTGCCCTTCCCGGCCCTGTCGCCGCCCTTTCAGCGGCCCCGCCGCCGCCCCTACCTGCGGCCCTGTCGCCGCCCTTCACCGGCACCGACGCCGCCCTTCAGCGGCCCAGTTGCCGCCCTTCAGCGGCCCCGCCGAGCCGCCCTTGCTGCCGGGCTGCCGAGCCGCTGCGCCGCCGAGCCACCGAGCCGCTGAGCCGCCGAGCCGCCTGTGCTGCCGAACCGCCGAGCCGCGTTTTGCCGCCGAGCCGCCGAGCCGCACTACAGCCGAGGCGCCGCCGCCTGTCGGCCTGCCCGGGTCCGCCTCACTTACCTGGTAAGAGCAGCGCCTTTGCCACTGCACTGCCCTGCCCCACTGTACTCACTGCCTGTCTACTGCTGTCATGGCCACCCCTAGTGTTCTCACCTTTGACGCTGAGGGTCGGGTAGTTGACTTTGAGGACTGGGTAGATGATCTGCAGCTTTTCCTACAGTGCGATCGGACAGACGGTCTCCTCCTGTTTGACCTCACTTTTGGTGCCTCTCTTGCCCCTGCTGCTGATGCTGACGCGACTGTTCGCTCACAGTGGGCCACGCGCGATGCTGCTGCTCGCCTTGCTGTGCGCCGCCACTTGCCCACCACTGAGCGTGCACACTTTAGCCAGTACAAGAGTGCTCAGACCTTGTACGACGCTGTAGTTGCACGCTACTCTTCCCCTGCCACTGCTGCACTGAGCCGCCTCATGCTACCGTACCTCTTCCCTGACTTTGGTGCCTTTCCCACAGTCGCTGACCTCATTACGCACCTCCGCACTAGTGACACTCGCTACCGCGCTGCGCTTCCTGCTGAGTTCTGCGCCAAGAACCCCCCCCCCCCATGTACATCACCCTCTACTACATAGTCACCCGACTCCCTGACTCTCTTCGCGTAGTCAGGGACCACTTTCTCTCAGTTTGCCCCACCACTCTCACCGTTGACCTCCTCGAGAAGGCCCTCCTAGCGGCAGAGAAGAGCATAGTCGCTGTAGGAGCCTCTCGTGGTGACCCTCGCACCCCCGTCTTTGAGGGGTGTTCTCCCTCCCCCCTCTTGCCCTCTGTTGCCTCTGCTGCGGCGGCCGATCTCGTTGGTTTCGAGTCGGTCGGCGCTGCGTCTGCCCCGAGCGGGAAACGCCGCACCGGCAAGGGCAAGGGGGGCAAGGGCGCTGGAGAGGCTGGCGGGGGCGGTGGAGGTGGTGGTGGAGGCAGTGGAGGGAGTGGGGGTGGTGGTGGGAGTGGTGCCGGGGGTGGCGGGGACGGCGGCAGCAGTGGAGGCGGAGGAGGCGGCGGAGGTGGCGGAGGAGGCGGAGGTGGAGAAGGCGGCGGTGGCGGCGGCGGTGGTGGAGCCGGTCGCGACTCTGCGCAGAGGAGTGGCTCAGGTGGTGGTCCGCGCCAGGAGCAGCGGAGTGGCGTGACCCTGTCCCCTCAGCAGCTTCGTGAGTGGTACACTGCGCGTAAGCGCGGTGGGGGTTTTGGTCCCTGCACTTACGTCCTCCGTACCGGCGACCGAGCTGGTGAGCAGTGCGGTGGCCCGCACTTCACCCAGCGCTGCTTTGGTCGCCTGACGGACGCGTGGCGTTGCCAGTTCCCTGAGGCTTCCGAGATCCCTCGCTGGGGAGATCTGTCTAGGGCGGGGGTTGCCATCTTTGATCTTGACTATGATGCTATCCTTGCTGCCATGCATTCTGTGTCTACTAGTGTTGAGAGTGACTGTTACCTGTGTGTACTGCCTGTCCCGGGCATTGAGGCCGCTGCACAAGGTGCTGGAGAGGCTGCTGCTCTAGGTGCTAGTGCGTCTGCTACCCCAGGTGCTAGTGCGTCTGCTGCCCTAGGTGCTGGTGAGTCTGCTCTGTCAGGTACTTCGTCGGCTCAGGCCTCACACACATTCACCCTTGACTCAGGTGCGTCCCGCTCCTTCTTTTGAGACCGCACCACTCTTACGCCGCTCAATCGGCCGGTTGCAGTCTCCCTAGTGGACCCCTCTGGGGGTCTTGTCCTTGATAGCTTCTCCACTGTCTTACCGTGCCCGGCAGCCCCCTCTGGCACCCGGTCTGGTCTCTACCTCCCCTCGTTCTCTACGAACTTGGTGAGTGGAGCGGACCAACAGGATAGGGGGGTTGACCAGTTCACTCCTGCGAGTCAGCGAGTGACCCACTGCACGTGTGCTCCGACAGGTCGACACTTGGCTACGTACACCCGTCGGCCAGGGTCGAGCCTGTACACCCTTACTACTGAGTCTCCTCCAGCTGCTGAGTCTGCCTAGGTAGCTGTGTCGAGTCAAGGGTTTGCTGCAGCGTCCAAGTCTGGTCCTGAGTCTGCTCCCTCCTCGTGTCCTCTCCTGTCCCACCAGACTCTCCTCTAGCACCACCGCCTTGGTCACCCCTCCCTGCCTCGTCTCCTAGGCATGGCCTCCCATGTCCTTGTCTCTGGTCTCCCTCGGTCTCTCCCTCCCCTTCCTCCGGGGCCAGGCCCTACTTGCGTCCCCTGCGTCGAGGGCGACAGTGTGCCACCCCTCACTCCTCCGAGTTTCCTCCGACAGAGGCTCCGCTACAGACCCTCCACATGGACGTGTGGGGCCCCGCCCGCGTCCGTGGACAGGGGCACAAGCGTTACTTCTGTTGAAATGATCGAACAAGAATGATTAAACTAACAGTGAAATCAGTACAAGTACCTAACCCTAGAATTGTGTACCCCCTATAGGCTAACCCACTGTAGCCTAAACAAGCACAACATATACAATGTTTGACACACCCCCATAGGCGAAGTGGGGGAGAACTAGGGGTCACAAGACCAGTCAAGGCAAAGCATGGCAAAACAAGCTCAGGGTGGATCTCGAGGATACCACACAAAGTCCGAGCACTAGCAAGTGGTCACAAGACCAGTTCACATGCAGGTTTATAATAGAGCAAGAGGTACAATGATCACAACCTAGCAAGAGTAAACATGCAGGTATTTATATAGAGATCACACTACAAACAGACTCAAGAAGTAAGTAAGTGAGGTGTAGTAGGCACAAGGCCTAGAAGAGTGCAAAAGCGCTGATGGTCACAAGGCTGAAGCGCCTTGGTGAACACATCAGCAGTGTTGGCCTCAGAGGCCACGTAACGCAGACAAAGTTGACCACGCTGCTGCAGCTCTCGAGCAAGGAAGTAGCGCGAAGCAATGTGCTTCGTTGTGTGCTCCAGTCTGTGCTCCTGACACAAGGCAATGGCTGCCTTGTTGTCGACAACAGCACTGGAGGAGAACGAGGCCGCTCTCCAAGGTCGGTCAGCAAGTAGGTGAGCCAGCGTAGCTCCTGGGCCGCCATGGCTGTGGCGTAGATCTCAGCCTCACAACTGGAGCTGAGAACAGAAGAAGAGCAAGAAGAACGCCAAGAAACAAAACCAAAGCCAAGACTGAAGGTGTAACCCTGAGACGACCGCTGAGTAGCCTGGTCGTCTGCCCAAGAAGCGTCTGAGTGCCCAGTGAGAACAACTGGGTCTCGCCCTCCAAACACTAGCCCCATGCCCGACGTACTGCACAAGTAGCGCAACACCCTCTTAGCTGCATCCATGTGCTCCTTCCGGTGACGGCCGGGAGCGACATAGCGTGCAAGAATGCTAAGAGGGTATGCAAGGTCAGGTCGAGTGCAGGTCATCACGTACATGAGGCAACCCACAAGCTCTGGATATGGGCCACTCGGCTCTACGGACTCATCCGAAGGCACACCTGAGAGCGAGTGACTGGTAGGCAGAGGAGTGGCCTGAGGCGAGGAGTACGTGAAGCGGAAGCGCTGAAGGACCTGCTGCACCATGTGTGACTGAGTCAAGGTGATGGTGCGGCGTGCTCTGTCCCGGGTGATCCGCAAGCCAAGATAGCTTGTCAGTTCACCCAGGTCTGTGCACGTGTGTCTCTTCTGCAGCTCCGACTTCACCTGGGCGAGTGCCGCAGTGTCAGCAGTGGCAAAGACCAAGTCGTCGACGTACACGAGGATGTAGAACGGCGGCAGTGAAGTGTCGGTGCGTAGAAACAGCGACGAGTCAGCAGTAGAAGGCGCGAACCCAAGAGCCGCAAGCGTAGTCCTCAGTGTGTCGTGCCACTCACGTGGCGCCTGGTGTAGACTGTAGACTGGCCGTCGGAGGCTCCACTGGGTACCAGGAGGGAACGACCCAGTGAAGCCAGGTGGGCGGCGCAGCTAGATCTCCTCGTGCAGGCTGCCCTGTAGAAAAGCAGTGCTAAAGTCAAGAGAGTGGAGCTCGTAGTCACACTGAGCGGCGGCGTGCAGCAGAACTCGAAGAGTGGTCATATTCGGGGTCGGGGAGAAGGTCTGGAAGAAGTCAACTCCCTCTCGCTGACTGAAGCCTCGTGCAACATAACGCGCCTTGAAGACAGGCGGAGAGCCCGGCGGCCGCTTCACCCTGAAAATCCACATGCCACTGACGATGTTCGCCCCAGGCGGGGGAACCTCGTCGACGTAGGTGCCTGTGGAATTCCAGGAAGCCATCTCTGTGTCCATGGCTGTCTGCCACTGAGAGGAGTAGTAACTTGCCATCGCCTCTGCGTAAGAGCGTGGGGTCGGGATGTCTGGTGCATCCGGGTCTCCCTCAGGGGCAACAAGCATGGACACGAGATGGGGCAAAGCGGCAGCAAAGCACTCAAACTCCTCCTGCCTGTCCTCAAGAACGTCAGTGCCAAGAGCACACTCACCCTCGACAGACGGAGGACAGAAAGACTCAGACTCAGCAACTAGGCTAGCGGCGTAGTCGAGACGACAGGTGGCAGCAGAGTCGACAAGCTCAGCAACTAAGGCAGACGCAGCAGCAGACTCAAAGGAAGGGTCAGTGACAACAGTAGCCAGGAGACGCGTGACAGTAGGACTGGCAGCACGAAGGGAGTCGGACCCCGGTTCAGCAAGAGCAGGAAGAGAGGACGCAGGAGGAGACGGCAGAGGAAGGATGAAGCGCCATCCGGTGAGTGCCTGGGACTGCAGGAGGACGCTGATGCGGGACACGACTACCAGTGAGAACAGCACGGACAGGCGACGCACGACAAGACTCAGGCGACGCAGGACGAGACTCAGGCTCACGACGCTAAGTAAGACCTCCAGTCGGACCACTGTAAGGAGCAGGACCAGGAAGAGAGGAGGCAGACGGTAGCTGCGACTGCAGCTGGACAGACGGAGGACACCCTAAGGAGGGAGGAGGACAAGGAGGAGGGAGCTGACCAAGAACCTGCTGAAGGAGCGGAATGAAGTACGGCCGTGACCGTGCAGCGACTCCAGAACCAGTAGAGACACCAGCACCAGGGTCCTCAGCACCAGCAGCAGCTCCAACTCCCGGGTCCTCAGCACCAGCAGCAGCGCCAACACCCGGGTCTACAGCACTAGCAGCATCACCAGCGCCAGGGTCCTCAGCACCAGCAGCAGCTCCAACGCCCGGGTCCGCACCACCAGCAGGAGCTCCAACGCCCGGGTCCTCAGCACCAGCAGCAGCACCAGCGTCCGGGTCCTCAGCGCCAGCCGTAGCTCCAACGCCCGGGTCCGCAGTACCAGAAGCAGCTCCAACCTCTGGGGCCGCAGTACCACCAGCACCAGTAGAGTCTCCAGCACCACCAGTAGCAGCGGGGTCCGCGACACCGGGCGCGCCACTCCGAAGAGTGCAGCGCCGCTCGTACCACTCACGGATCCGCTCACGGGAGGGGAGCTCCCGACTAGGAGGAGAAGCACTAGCACCAGTCCCAGTAGTACGCCTGGCTCCAGAGGTACCTCTCCTGAGGCTGTAGTACTGTAAGTACCACTCACGCAGCTGCTCCGAGGAGAGGGGTCCTCCAGGCGTTGGACTTCCAGGCTCAGCACGTCCAGACTCAGAACCCCAAGACTCCGGACTCAGCAGCTCAGCACCCCCAGGCCCAGCACCCCCAGGCTCAGGACCCCCAGGCTCAGCACCCCCAGGCTCCGCACCCCCAGGCTCCGCACCCCCAGGCTCAGCACCCCCAGGCTCCGCACCCCCAGGCTTCGCACCCCCAGGCTCAGCACCCCCTGGCTCCGCACCCGCAGCAGGACGAGAGTCGATAGCTACCTCAACAGGCTGAACCGGGTCTACCTGAGACACACCTGAGGGAGCGGCACCCTGAGGGGGGAGGGGGTCTACGACAGCAGCACCTGGCGCGAGGAAGAGAGGCGGGGGGGGGAGCGGGGCAGTGCGGTAGGGGAAGAGGCGGTAGTAGGGGACGGACTCGTCAAAAGTGACGTCCTGAGAGGGCAAGACTCGGCGCGAGGTGGCGTGGTGAAACTGCCAACCAGGCGCGTCCGAGAAAAAGCCGAGGAAGACGCAGGGAACAGCACGGGAGGAGAGCTTGTCCGCAGACGTATCGCGGACAAAAGCTCGAGATCCCCAGACCCGGAAACGCGACGCATCGCCAACCTCCCCAGTCCACAGCAGTGTGGGCGAGGTCTCCGGCAAGGAGACACGGCGCCAGAGGTTGAGCTGATGCGCAACGTACCGGACCACAAACGGCCACAGAAAGTGGGGGGCAGCCGCATGGACCAAGGAGGTATGGGCGACTTCCATGACCAGGCCAATGCGGCGCTCCGCAATCCCATTCTGCTGTGGAGAGGTCGGAAGCGTGAACGAGTGCTCAATGCTGTGCTCAGCACAGTAGGCTGCCAAGAGGTCGGAGGAGAACTCACCAACTCTGTTAGAGTGCAAGCGCAGGACAGGAAAGTCCGAGTGGAAACGCTCGCTGAGCTGGAGACGGGCTCTGCGGATCTAGGGGATCAAGACATAAGGGACCTCACCCTTGGTGCCCAAGGGGAAGACCGTGGTGTAGCGCGAGTAGTCGTCAACAACTATCAAGAAGTGCCTCTCCTGACCCTGACCACGGACGCGGGCTGGGCCCCACACGTCCATGTGAAGCGTCTGCAAGGGAGCAGTTGTCAGGGGAAAC